CCAGCCACATACCTATGTTTGTAGCAGCACGATTTATCATAGCTAAATCTTGGTAACAGCACATGTGCCCATCACAAAGATGAGTGGATAAAAAAGTAGTATTTCTATATAATGGACTACTACTTTGCCATAAAGAGAGATAAACTTGCATCATTTGTAGGAACAATAATGCATTTTGAGACCAAAATTTTAGGTGAAATAAATCAGATGCACAATTTCAAATATCACACTGTTTCTCTTGTGTGAGAAACTCAAAGGGTAAATAAGGAGCACAATGGAGGATAGATAATTGGGAAGTAGGAAGGACTTTTTCAAATGAGAAGTGGGGGCTGGGGATTTAGCTTAGCGGTGCTGCCACCTACCTCACAAGCACAAGGTCCCAGTTTGGATCCCTGGTAAAAAGCAAGCAAGCAAACAAACAAAGAACAAAACAAAACAAAACAAAAAAACCCAAAACCAAATGAGAAGGAGAACAAGGGAGGTGGGACGGAGAAGGGAAGGAAGGGAAAAGGATAAAAAGAGAATGGAAGGAAACAAATGGAAAGCAAGCTGGTGTCAATGGGGAAGAGAAGAAGGGTTAAAGGGAGGGGAAGTGCATGGGAAAAAAGAACTTAGATATGTTATGAACAGGTACAAATGTCCTATGATTAATGTGATCAGTACACATGGCAAATATTTACTAACAAAAATAAAGTTAAAAAAATTTTGAAAACCCGTAACACACAGATTTCACACCGAGGCAGGACAATTCAATCCATGTTAAAACACACAGAATGGAGAACTGGCCTGATAATACGTTACAAAATTTAGCATAAAATTACCACATGACCCAGCGATTTCACTTCTAGGTATTGATTGAATTAAAGAATTCAAACAGTTCTTTGTGTAATAATGTTCATAGCAGCACTATTTACAGTAGCCAAAAGGTAGAAAGGACTCAAACATTTATTCACAGATTGATGAACAAAATGTGTTAGATCCATGCAATAGGTATTATTCAACTGTAGAAAGGAATGAAACAGACACACGGTGCACCATGGAAGAACTTCGGAAATGTGCTGAATGGAAGAATCTGAGCACAAAGGCCAGATCTTGTGCAATTCCAAATGCACAAAATGGGAAAATTTGTGATTGCAGAGGCTGGGAAGAGAGAAAAGAGTGCTCATGGGCACGGAGTTTCCTTTTATGTTGATGAATATGTTTCAGATAGGGATTTCATACATAGGGATTTCATCACACTGTGAATGTATTAAATCCAACTGAATTGTAAACTTTAAAGTGATTACTTGTTTTATATGAATTTCACCTCAAAAATTAAACTATAATGCACCATATAAATTTCATTTTAGCTTGCATCTGTTCACATGCCATATGCCTAGAAAGGTCTGAAAGGATAACCATGCAATTCCTCATCGTGGTTGCATAACTGGCTATTGTATTGCACTTAGCCTTGTTTGTAGCACTTAAGTTAGTTAAGTGGAAATAAATGCATGTGTGTTCTTTGATTTTAAAGCCTTTAAATCTCACTGGGCAAGAGACATGGATGCAGAAATGGAAGGAAGGTGTATGTAAGGCAGCCTTGGCCTGAGGGGACGGGAGGGCTGCTTCTCTGTCATCATTAAGATCCGTCCCAAATTCCAAATTGGTAGATCATTAGTAGAGCACTGTAGTCCCTTCTCAAGCCCTTGAGAAGTTCAGGTAATTGACTCACCCTTGGAAGGCAGGAGGGAAACAAAGTAAGGACACAGATTCCCTGAGGTTGCCTCATCCTGGCCTGGTCCCTAGGGGTCCCAACATCCCTATGGCAGAGGCAGAGATGGCAGGACCACAGCCAGAGGAAGCAGTGGGCAGGCAACAGGGGAGGGATAAATAATGGCAGTCAAGCTCTGTCAAACCCCTTCTCCCCCAGCTGGCAGGCCACACTGGAGCAACCCCATCTATAAGAAAACTTTAAAGCAGGGCCTCCTGCCATGGTGAGGAAGAACTAGGTGCGGGGTCTGAAGATTCAGATGAGTCATTTTCCCTGTGAGCCACCTCACCAGGGGAGACCTGGGCCTCTGCCATCTACTCAGACAAGCCTCCTGTTACTATGATCTCAGGAAATTCAGATCTATGTGACCTGGGGACAGCGTGATGCTTGCTTAACTGACTTTATCTGTCTTGGAGCACTGCTACCTTGTGGGATAAGTTCTTTGGACAGGTGAGAAGACTGAGGTACAGCGAGGAAAGCCATTGCTATGTCTATTACTTTTAATCCCTCTTCTTGGTCTGTCTACCTAGAAACCATTGGAGGAAAGCTTAGGGAGAGAAGAGAGAGACAAGGAGATCCAGAATTTAGAGCCTCTAGGTTGCCTCCGTGGGTTATAAACAACGAGGAAGGTATTGTTGGGGCCTCATGAGGTGATGATAAGGATTTAAGGATGAGAAAAGGCAGAGAAAAAGGAAAGAGAAGGAAGCTGAGGTGGGAGAAAAGGTCAGAGAGTGAAAAGGTAAACAGTTTCACTAAGAGGAGATGACTAGGATGGTACAATAGGGACAATGGTTCTGAACTGGACATCATTCTGTCTCCCAGAGGATGTTCAACAATGTGTGAGGATGCATCTTATTGTCACAGTTAGGGGATGCTATGAGCATTTGGTAGATCAAGACCAGGGATACTACTCAACATCCTGTAATGTGCAGGAGAGCCCCACACATGGAGGACAGCCCAGCACCAGCATTCTGCTCTCTACTTCTATAAGTTCAATGTTTTTAGGTTCCATTTATAAGTGAGATCATGTAGTTTTTGTCTTTCTGTGCTTGGATGGATGGTTACCAAAGACTGGAATTGAGGTGGGGAAGGAATAAAGACAGAATTATTGATCAGAGAAGACAAAATTTTGGTTAGATGGAAGAATATATTTTGGGGTCCATTGGGGGTCTATTTGTAAGTGAATTTAGTTAATGATAATGTATGTGTCAACATAACTCAGCGAACTCCAAATGTTTTACCATAAAAATGACAAATAAATTAGGTGGTGGATATGTTCATGAACTTGAAGTAATCATGACACATTGTATATATGCATCAAAACCTCACCTTGTACCCCATAAATTCATACAATTGTGATTAGTCAAGCAAAAGAAGTATTAACAATTTAAAAACGAGTGATACCATCCTCAGTGTCCCTAATGCTGAATTTGGGGAACACTACATTTAGGGTATATGTGGGCAGGGCTTCTTCATGCCAGGCTTAGCCCTCAAATCGCCAAGTGGAGAGAAGACCCCATTGTGCCAGTGCCAGAAAACGAAGTCTCTGTCTCCCTCTCCTCCTCTCTCTTTTTTCTATTTCTTTTTCTGTATCTCTCTCACTCTCTGCCTTTGTCTTTCTCTGTGTCCTTCTCACTAAAACCCATGTTTAGATTAAGGGCCACACTTGGTATTTGGATTTTGACAAATGCGCAGTGTCCCTTATCCACCATTACAATATTCTACAACGTGGTTTCACCATCTTAAACAACCTCTTTGATCTGCCTATTCCTCTCTCCCTCTGTCCCAACAAGTCCCTGGAAACCACTGACATTTTACCTTTTATGATTTTATATCTCTCTGACTGAAGATGTGACCCATTTTAGCCCCATTTGTGTCCCATCATGTTAGAGGATAATATATGCAGCCCTCAGCCACCTCCCCCAGAAGGAATCAGTTCTAAACTTCTCATAGTTCTCTCTTTCCTGGATTTTTGGGATCTCCTGTAATGAGATTGGGCGTGTGAGTGTGGTCAGCCATGGGGAAGGGACACCGTCTTAACCTTGGGGGTAGCTCTGACTTACCTTACATCTACCAGTAAAGTGATGACTATAACAAGAAAGAGGTCAGGAAAAGACAAGTTCTGGAGTTAGTCAGACATGAGTTCAAATCCTGGAGCACTGAACAGGCACAAAAAGTCCCATGGTTATAATGCTGTTTATGTGACATGCCTAGAACAGGCAAATTTATAGAAACAGAAAGTAGAGTGGTGATTTACTCTTTGGTGATTTTATATTGCCTAGTTTTTTAAAAAGATAATTTAAGTATAGTTAAGTGATTCATACAGAAGCACTGAAGGGGGCTGGGGATATAGCTCAATCATACAATGCTTGCCTGGCAATCATGAGGCCCTGAGTTCCATTCTTGGTACAAAAACAACAACAACAAAAAAGAAGCACCGAGAGCTGGGGATTTAGCTCAGCGGTTCGGTGCCTGCCTTGCAAGTGCAAGGACCTGAGTTCAATCCCTGGTACCCCCCTCCCCAAAAAAGAAGTACTGAGATCTCATATTCAATAGATTCTTATAATTATTTATGGAACACAAAGTATGTATATTTTCTTACTTGTATTTCCTTAGTATATGTCACAACTTCTGAGAAGAATTCATTTTTTTTCACAACTATTTGATGGGAGTCGGGATGAGGTACCTAGAGATGGAGAAACCTGTTTAGGTTATGCAACAGGCACACAGGGATTTGAACTTGGGTCTGCTACCTCTCACTACCTTCTATCATCCAATGGTTATGTTGCATCGACTCAGAACATACAGACGTGAGTCACGGACACTAGGAACCAATACTTTACTTCAGTCTCTTCACTTAGAACAATAGTCTGTTACATCTGACTTCCCATGTTGATAAATAATGGCAGAGAAAGAATCTGATCAGTGTAAATTAAGCCAGAGATGCACTGGTCCATGAATGTATGACCAAGGGCAAGGGGAGAGACATCCTGTGGCATCTGAAGCTGTGGGTAGAACAGGATTTGTCACAAGGACAGAATAGGGCATGGAAGCAATGTTGGAAGGTTTGGGAAAGGGACTTTTCACATGGGGAAACAAAGTCAAAGAGCTGTGCAGGGTATACTCTTTGGAGTCAGCCAACCATGGGTCCAAGTTTTGAACTGGCCATTTCAGCAGCTTCACCTTGAACAACTTGTCAACCCATTGTACACTCCATTCTCAATGAGTTTGCTCAACATACCTAGGGTGGGGTAAAAAAAATAGCATCATTTTCACAAAGTAGATAAGATCATTAAGTGATAGAAGGTAACAGTAGGAATTGAACTGATGCCACCTGTTATCCTTTACCAAAATCGAGCTGAGATAGGATGGTGGCTGACGACCTTTCCCAATCCAGTAGCTGACTTCTCCCCACCATGCTTCACCGCAGGTGTGGCCTCCATGCAAGGAGCTAATCGCTCAGCAGTGACAGAGTTCATCCTCATTGGCTTCTCTGCTTTCCCCCGCCTTCAGCTGATGTTCTTCCTGCTGTTCTTGCTGATGTACCTGTTCGCCCTGCTACAGAGTCCATTCATTGGCTTCTCTCCGCTCCCCCGCCTTCAGCTGATGTTCTTCCTGCTGTTCCTGCTGATGTACCTGTTCGCCCTGCTGGGAAACCTGCTCATCATGACCACCATCTGGCGTGAGCGCAGCCTCCACACACCCATGTACCTCTTCCTGTGTGCCCTCTCCATCTCTGAGATCCTCTACACCTTGGCCATCATCCCGCGCATGCTGGCTGACCTGCTCTCCACCCACCACACCATCACCTTTACTGCGTGTGGCAGCCAAATGTTCTTCTCATTCGCATTTGGCTTCACCCACTCCTTCCTGCTCACTGTCATGGGCTATGACCGCTACGTGGCCATCTGTCATCCACTGCGCTACAATGCGCTCATGAGCCCCCATGGCTGTGCCTGCCTGGTGGCCTGGTCCTGGATTGGTGGATCAGTAATGGGGATGGTGGTGACAACGGCAGTTTTCCATCTCACCTTCTGTGGTCCCAATGAGATTCACCATTTTGCTTGCCATATGCCACCCCTGTTGAAGTTGGCCTGTGGCAAGAATGTAGCAGTGGTGGTCATGGGTGTGGGCTTGGTGTGTATCACAGTCCTGCTGGGCTGCTGTCTCCTCATCCTCCTCTCCTACGCCTTCATCGTGTCTACCGTCTTGAGGATCCCATCAGCTGAGGGTCGGCACAAAGCCTTCTCCACATGTGCGTCCCACCTCATGGTGGTGGTTGTGCACTATGGCTTTGCCTCTGTCATCTACCTCAAGCCCAAGGGCCCTCACTCCCTGGAAGGAGACACCTTGATGGGCATCACCTACACGGTCCTCACACCCTTCCTCAGCCCCATCATCTTCAGCCTCAGGAACAAGGAGCTGAAGGTGGCTATGGAGAAGACCTTCCTCAGCAAACTTTACCCAGAAAAAATATAACAATCTAGGGAAAATTCCTTGGAGAAAACTAAATGTGATTACTAAATTCTACTGTTAGAGGGCCAGAGATCTAGCTCAGTGGCACTGTACCTTGCAAGGTCCTGAGTTTGATCCCCAGTACTGCCAGAAAAAAATGCTACTGTTAGAGATGATCCCCCATCTTATATGCAAAGTTACATTTTCTGAGCCAATCAAGCTGTCTTTATAGACAACATACAAATGTATATACACACAAAGGTCAATCAGCATCAGGGATTTGTTTGCGGTGGAAGGAGGTGTGAGATCATGACACAGAGAAAATCAGAGTTTACTCTCTACCCCTCACAGGATACTGTCAGTGCCAAGCCTGTCACCTGCCAAAATCTGGAGTTATCTAATATTCCCAGCAACACAAACCCACAATGCAATGAGAAATGGAAGACTTCATATTCCATTTCTGTCTGGTAACACAAGGTAGGAATAACTCAGATTTTTCAGTCTACAAAAGAATGCCCGGCTCACAAGAATGGAAAGCAAAAAACCCTAAATTTCAGCATCGTCCAGATGTATGCAGTGGAAGTTGGAAACAGAAACAAGCAGATTCTCAGAAACAGAGCTGAGGAACTCTCGACACTTCAGTGGCGAAGCTTGAATACGTGTGTAGGGACAGAAATGTCTTCAGAGTTGGTTTAGGTAAATGCTTCCACTGTGGACTATCTTCCCTCGTGTTGGCAACACAGCACAAAGGCCAGGGAGGAGCTCTCTGCTGAATGTGGACAGCGAGCGCAGAGCCCAGGATGAAAGTTTGTCACATGGGCCTTGATGCTCACCTGTTTCTCTATAGAGAGGGATTTAAGGTTAATCCCACTGAGCAGCACTTATCATTTGTTAAAAGTATGTGTTCATACTTTTCATAGCAAACTATACATCATTTGTCCTAAAGGATGAACTCGTTCTTTATCACTTAAGCGGTACATAAATCTCGTGATAATGTGAAATGGGAGGAAAGTGGGAAGCAATTTCAGTCACAACTGAGGAACCCAGAGAAGGCCCCTTTTCGGAATACACGCTGTAGTTACTGCTTCTTCTTACTGCTTGGGCACATTGTGTCAACACAGCCTCACAAGAGGGTGTAATAGAATCACATCATCCCCATCTGACAGAGAGGAAACCAAGACTCCAAGACTGCACAACGAGGAAGAGCCAGATTTCCAGGCCTTCTCTGACTCCATGCCCTCTCCATTCAGTGCTTCATGCAGTGACATTTTTTTTTTTTTGTACCCCTGATCAAACTCAGGACCTTGTGCTTTCAAGGCAGATGCAGTTTCACTGAGATAAATCCCTGGCCCCCATGCCATGTCTTCTTACAGTGAGTTTTGTAGGCCTGAATACAAGAATTATTGTCATTCTCCAAACCACACACCCCAACATCCTTAGAGTACTCTACGGGCACTGGACAGTGATTTGATCTACCATGCACTAAAGCCAGCATCCTTGGAACTTTGTGGGAAATTTTCGATAAATTCTAGAGCCATTTATTACTTTCCTTTCAATTTTTATTTTTTATTAGTGTAATTTTTTTATTTCAAAACAAGATTCACTGCTCCTTGGCCTTTGGCTAAGATCAAGTGTAAAATAAGTTTCAGTCTTGTAGGAATTTCTAAATAATTCCTCACACTGAGCTGAGATGTCCCTTTGCCAGCAACAAAGCCAATCTTGGCAAGAGCAGAGGACTATTATTAGAGCATATAAAAAAACTCAAAAAATTAAATTAATATTAAATCAAACATATAAAGAATCAAAAAATGGTCAACTGAAATGAGAGGTCACTTCTCAGAAGAAGTAGAAATGGCCAATAAATACATGAAAAAATGCTTAGCATCATTCGCCATTAGAGAAATGCAAATTAAAAGAACACTGAGATTCCATTCTTCTCCAGAAAGAATGGCTATCATCAAGAAATCAAATAATAACATATGCTGACAAGGGGAAAGGGAACACTTCTACATTGTTGGTGGGAAATAAACGAGTGCAACTATTATGGAAATAAATATGAAGATCCCTAAAAAAAGTAAAACTAGAAATTGCAATTGACCCAGCTATTCCCCTTCTAGGTATCTTCCTAAATGAGTACAGATATCATATTATAGTGATACATGCATACCCATGTTTATAGAAGCACAATTTACAGTAGCTAAAGCTTGAAAGTGGCTCATATGTCCATCAATAGGTGAATGAATAAAGAAAATGTGGTATTTATACACGGTGGAGTACTACTCTGCCATAAGGGATAAATGTGAGTTATTTTTAGGACAATGGATGCACCTTGAGCCATACTGTTAAGTGAAATAAATCAGACACACAAGCTTACATATCGCATATATGAGAACTCCCAGATATAAATAAAAGATAATAATAGGAAAATAAAATAAGATAATAGCAAAATAAAAGATAACAATAGGAAAAAGGGACATAGATCTTTTACAAAAAAGGAAGGGGACCAAGTGATGGAGTGAGGGAAGTAGAGGATGAAAAAAAATTAAGATGTGTCGTGAATATGTACCAACTCCCATGAGGAATGTGATCATTATACTATGCAAACTTTTACTAATAAAAAATAAATACTGGAGGGCCAGGGGTTTAGTGGAGTGGCACCATGCCTGCCTCATAAGCACCAGGTTATGAGTTTGATCCCTGGTCCTGGAAAAATAAATAAATAAATAATTTAAAACTGGAAAAAGAATAGAAGAGTCTTTCATTTTCTTAATTAAAGACCCACTTGGACTCTGACACCACTGGTATCGAAACAGATAAAGGATCTGGAAAATGGATGGGTTCCGCTGTTAGTCAAGCACTGAATGTGTTAGGCTAATTTAGTGTGAATCCTTATACTACATGTTTGATAAGATTGGGAAGCCTGATCATCTTGCCTATCACCACATACAGCAAAAGGGTGGTACTCAGAATATATAATCAATTCTTGGTGGATATTTGTAGACTGGAATAACTCAAGCCCCACAACACTGAACAAACCAGAATGTTGACTTACATATTTACTGTGAGAAATATCACTGTCCTTTAGGGCCATGGGAAAAGCCACATTTGAGTGAGACTGAACTACCACTGATTAATTTCCCACCTAACTAGATTGATGCTTTGAGATGTGTTCCATATAACAGATTCTGGCTATGCATTCAGTGGTCACTCAAGCCAATTCCAACCTTGTACTTCTTAAGAGTCCCTTGCTCCCAGCAAGTCCCTCAGGTCTAAGAGTCTAATGCACTATCTTTACAGGGATGTTCCCCAAATCTCTATCTTCACAACTTCCCATCTCCACTTGGCTACTTAGTAGGCAACTCAAAGTTAATATCCAAATCTAATTCTTGAATATGATATTATTATTCCTTCCTACTTCCTCTTCCCCTTCTTTCTCTCTCCTTCCTTCTTTTTCCTCCCAGTCTTTCCTATCTCAAAAAGCATCATCAATTTCAGTTTTTTGAGACATTCTTTTTCTTAATTTTCATTTTTATTAGTCTACATTTTCAGTATATAATGATTACTTTCATTGTGAGGCCATTGGTACATGGACATAGCATCTTCATTCTTTTTTAATCCCTCCCCCCTTCCCCTCCTCTCCCCCATCTCCTGGTCTCCTTTCCTTTTGCAATAGTTGTTTCTTATTATTTTATTTTTTGCTCTTTATCTTGGGGTTTCTCATATAAGAGAAATAGTGCTATTTTAAGCTTGTGTGTTTGATTTATTTCACTCTTGACTCCTCTAACTCACCAGCAAATCGAGGTTTGCTGTCTCTTCAAAGCATATCCAGAACTTGGACCCTTGGGCTGGGGATTTAGCTCAGTGTTTCTGCTGCCTGCCCCACAAGCACAAGGACCAGGGTTCAATCCCCACTACAAAAACAAACAGACAAAAAACAAAAAACAAAACCAAAAATGGAACAATCAGAACTTGGCTTCAGGTTACCACCCTTACTGCTACTGTCTTGGTCTAGGTGACTATCTTCTCTCACCTGGATGGTTTCCATTAATACAGAGAACTTTTGTAAATAATAGAAAAATCTAAAAAAATGTTAGGAAAATGTAAAATGACTTCTGCTGTCTCTAACAGTAATCTGCTTTGTTTAGTTCAAAATTAAGAGACACCAGAGGCATTGACCATGAAATGGAACATCTGGCCTCATCCCTGACCTTGATCACCCCCTTCCTGTGCACTAGAATAGGTAGCTAGATGAATCTTAGGGTAAACTCCCTAATTACAAGGAATTGCTAAGTCTAGGTTAAAGTTAATTGTCTTGTTACTGTAATGTGTACTTGGGTAATGTGAATTGAGGAAATGAAATGTAACCACCTGAATGAGATCAAGGCTGTAAAACCCTGTAAAAGAGGGAGCTGCAAGGCAGTAGGTCATCAATCACTAGCACTACTCTTAGTGCAATTGACCTTTTGTTGATAAAATAAACTTTTTATTATTTTACTTCCATTCTGCTTCTCTGTGTCATTTACCAATTCCTTCCCTAACATTTGGTGCATTGGCTGGGAAGGAAGAGGTGTATCCCAAGGATTTCCTGGGTTCCCTTTCTAGGACTTGGAGGCCAGCTCAGCAGCAGTGGATCATTCAAATCTGGAACAGAGGCAGCAGAAGGAAGACAAGTAGTGAAATCATCTGTCTGAATGGTGAGATTCCCTGGGAAACCTCTAGTTTGTTTTGCTTTTGGTTTGGTTCTTAATTGAACTTTTGGGCAGATTACAGATTGGAGGCCTGATTACCCTCCCTTCTCTGCCATTTGTGAGAATATATATCCTCAATTTGGGCAAAATACAGATTGCAGGCCAATCACTCTAAACTCTTTGACATTTGTGAGGGTTTTGATTGCCCTCAATTTGTTATTGTGCTTTATAAGGGGTCCCAGGGGGGGAATGTTTTAACTTCTTGTGTGACTGTGTGTGTGAAAGAGACTCAGTTAGGAGAGTGAGTGGAACAAGCTACAAAAGCCATTGGTAGCCTTGTCTATGCACCAA